TATTTAGCATTTTCAGAATGGATATTGAATAATTTTGAATTACATTCCAAATTTGAATTGACACCCATTCAAAAGAAATTACAAGAGAGTCATAAATCAGAGCAAGTACCTTTCTGTTATGAACAATGTCAAAATCAATCGTTTAGTATATCATCAATAGAAACAACCTTTAGTGGAGAATATATTGCTGTTATGAATCGAGCTGGTATCGGTCGTCGAGAATTAACCAATGCTAATGAATTAGTCGAAGCACTATTGAAAGCATTTCCTGATCATAAAAATCCTTATCTACGTGTTTGGCCAAAACAATTCAATTTTAACGATGATCTTTATGAAACAGCATGTATGGCTCGATCGATTCGTGTTCTTATTGGAGTTCATGGAGCTGGTTTATCAAATTCTATATTCATGCGACCAGGTGCGATTCTTTATGAAATCAATCCACCTGGTTGTCGTCAATTGTCATTCAATTTTCGACGTTGGGCCGAAGTATTCAATCTGCAACATGCACTATGGAGTCCTGGAGATATAGGTGATAATTGTATACATGAAGGAAACACTAGGGTGAATGTGGATGATGTTGTCAGTGATGTGATCAATTTAGTTCAAAATGAAAATCGATATCGAAGTGGTTATCTATCACGAGCACTCGATCTTATTCGGAAAGAATAAGAATAATCCAGGTGGTTAACTTCAAAGGGTGAATGGAAGATAGCTGCAAAAAGAAGACAGCAGTTATTTGAATTTCTGGAAGTTACAATAGACTATTCATGGTATTTTTTTTTTTGTTATTTGCTAGTGTAAATAAATCTTTTTTTAAACCTTTTGATAATTCTTCAAATATGGTTCCAGCATTATAATCTAGAGTCTTCGTTTCAGTTCTTTTTTGAAAATGAAAGTAAAATTTTTCGTCTAAGAACACAAAATAGTTTGGAGCCCATATAAAAACATCGAAAAATAGTTGTTTTCTACGGCGATCATTAGACGATGTATTACAAAGTGGCCGAATATGATGATAAACGTCATCATTTACAATCATTGTATAGTCTTGAAGAGTAATAGATAAATTTATTATAGATAAATCTTGATTAGCATATTAATGATGACGAAATTGATCAAAGAAAATGTTTGTATGAAACACATTCATGAAATTGGAACATATTATATATTTTTTTCTTTAACTTTGTTGTTTTTATTGATGTAAACTTATTTGAAGAGTTCTTAGCCTTTTCATACAAAAATCAATAGAGATGTAGATGAGAAAATATAGCATACCCATACTCAAAACAACACTCTCCAAAGCACAAAGATATCATAGTTTTCTGATATAAACTTGACTTTTCTCAATATTTATCTATTATTGTTTGATTTTAACAATATTTCATTCCGAAATAGTTTTCCCTAAATCGAAAGATGACACCAATCTATTGTATATATGTCATATCAATTCAATACTTATTGTTCATTTTTCTGTCGTCTTTCATAAAAACGAATTAATTTCCTAGAATAGGATAAAGCATATTTAAAAAAGTGATATTGAATTTCTGTTGCTGAAGAATATCACTAAAAGCATCATTCGTATATTAAAAATAAACAAAAGATTCATTTTCACATCGATGAAATCCACTATCATAGCCATGATTCATCGTTTCCTATACATTCTTTTCAGCTGATTCAGTGTCTCTTTTTTTTTGATTCAATTAAAATTTAATTCGCATCTACTATAGCTTGTCAAGTTTGATTTTTATTTCATTTCATGTGTCCAACTATTAAAAATTAGGTTTTCAAGTTTATGTGAAGTTTCAATTTGATCATGTAATATCTCAATATGATTAATGTTCAACGAATAGTATTTTTTTAATGCCTTTTTGCAATAGCTAAAACTGATAGCAGTACTTGTGCCTTTCTTTTGTTGACTTGTTCCGAATTAGTTTTATGTGAATCTCCAAACAATAGGTTTTTTGCACCTAATCATATCTGTGTTCATCATTCACGATGGCATGAGCATCGAATTTGTTATTCTTTGTTTCAAGCCCATCAACAAATCTGTTCAACGATAATAAGTAAGATAAAACGAAAAATATTCCAAATGTTTCAAAAAAAGAATAAATATTTATATTCCATTTTAAAAAGTTCTTTGCAATATCTGCATCCTAATTCCTGATACTTGAATATAATTCAAAAAAATAGTATCATTGTCGTGTTTTGCTTTTCAATGATAGTATACAATTTTTTTTAACTGAATAACATTTTTTCATATTTGACATCTTTTATTTTCTGTCTTATGTATCTCAAAATTAAAACACTAAGGGAATATTGTTCATTTCTTAATATTTTATAGGATAGTGCTCGCTTAATTGAAGCGGTATATTAAAAGATTTCTAATATAAATGGTTTCTCTTTAGAAGCCGTGACTAATCTTACAATGACTACGGTCACAAGCACTACAACACCCAGTGAATATTAGATTTTGTCTTAAACAAGTAGATTTCTTTCGTTAATTATTCATGATATTTATATTTGACTCTTTTATAGCATAATTTTATTGATGAGATATTTGTTTAAAGTGGCAAAAAAGTAAAAAATAATATTACGGACTACAATTATTGTTGTAATTGAGACTGTCAGATAACGAGACTATTTCATTGAATAAGACAAAAGCTTCACGAAACTTACAGTGAAGGAAACAAATATAACCGTTTGATCTTGAACTTTTTATCAGCTCATAAGAAGAAAACTTTCACAGACGACAAAGTCAACTATCACTACTTTTTCTTGTTCATAAATTACTGATTTGAAAAAAAAAGTAGATCGTCTCACTCTTTTGTTTTTCTTGCTATCTAAGAAATCATTGAAATTCCAAAAAACTTTATTTAATACAAGAGCATACTAAATGAAGGAAAACAACATTTTTCTTAGTCGAATCACATATTATTTCAAATAAGTGTCAATTTATGCAATTCATCAATTGTACTCTTACCTTTAGACCACTTTTTCATCAAATCTATTAGAAAGATTTAATTAGAACTAACAGTATGATATTTGTTGCTTAGTTTTATTGGAAAAACATCTCTTTTTTATGATGATATTAAGAGACAGTTCGTAGCTGAATCAAGAAGATTTACTATAGGCTGCCATATGAAAAGGTTTGACATAGCTTTTTTACCATTGGAAATGAGAGAGCATGTAACAAATCTACAAATCCAAAAATTAAGCTTTCTCTATAGAAAAGGCTAAAATTTTGGATTTATAGGTTTTTTTAACATGCTCTTTCATTTCCAATGATAAAAAGGCTAAATCAAATTTTTTTCGATTTGACATGAGTTCTCAAACGAGTCCTGGATTGTCTCTTAAATTTTATATTGAACTTTACGATGAAATATATTTGACTGTTTCTGACCGCAAATTTCGTTCCTCTTATTATCATACATACGTGTCAGTATCCTATGAATGTACATTAATAGAAACCATATTAATTCAACGTTTTATCGATATACGACGTATGCACAGGTGACAGAAAGATATCGTACCAATATAGTTAACAAGGTTTTCTTGACTCATGATCACAGCGACGATTTCGATCAACACTATCGTGACTGTAACTATAAAATTAGTCAAAAAAATTCTTAGTGAGACCGATGTCTACTGCACACCTACACTGACATCTATACTGCACGATTACTCATAGTTTCTACTATGCAATTTTGACTTGCTTTCTTTTTCATTATTTGCTCAGTGATTGCTACTCGTTGTGTTTTTTGTAACATGTGACGAAAGAAAAAGAGAGAATCATTCAAAAGCATAGAAATAGCGTTACATACTTTGTTTTATTCGCGTCTGAGTGAAGTTTGCATCACAGGTTGGATTTTTCCTTTTTGATTGCTATTAGTCCTTGTTGTTACAATCTCTGTCAACATATATAAAATATTGACTAGTAGCCGCATGACTGCTAAGATTTTTCGAAATGGTTAGAGTAGAAACTTATAGTTTATAGGTTTTGAACATGTTAATATCTTTTCACAGTCATGTTATTGCAGACTATTCGGTACTCTATGCCCACATTCATAATTAAGGCATAAATATTTTTTACAATCGAAGTGAGCTTAATCTATGAGTTTACAATAATAATGAAAATTATCCAACTAAATTTTTCTGTAATTTTACATTTCCTATATCAAAGTTCATTTCAGATCTTCGACTTTCATATTTTCAAAATTGTTGTTGATTATACTGCTAAAAGACAGCTTGAAATTCGTCGATATTATCCTGAATTAGAGGTAAGAGGATTTTCCAGGGCTCCATCATTGATTAATAGAAAAAATTTCAAACTTTCGTTTGTATTCTATTTGTGTACATTTTATCTGATACAAATGTACTTACATATATATATATATATATAGTCTTTACTTATTCCATTTAGAGCATTGTCATGAAGATACATGTAAAAACATTTACTGGATTGGGACGGACATATACATTTAATGTAGAACCGTCTATGACAATTGAAGAGCTAAAACTTTGTATTCGTGAAAAGACAGATGATGATGACGATAGTTTTCAAAAAATGTCTCTTTGCTTCAATGGATGTGTACTCTATGATGACAAGGAAACACTTCTATATTATGATGTAGAAGAAAATTCTCGACTAGAATTACATGATCTCACTGGGAAATTCCGTAATATTGGTAATATGGGAATGAAATTTGTCGATGTTAGCAATGGTAGTGGTTTAAAACAGTGCGGATGGTCTAAACAAGCACCACGATGGCGAATAGCTGCACGGGGAATATGTCTTGAAGGTATATGTAAAAATTTTGCGTGTGATGCTTTCGAACAACAAGTTGTCATGCCAATCGGCTACAAAAAATTCGATCTTGTAAATTACGCAGATGAAACTACAACATTCTGTCCTGTGTGCAAACAATATGTTGAACCAAAAATATGTGGATTTAATAATTGTTGGTGGAGATTTGAGGGTAAAAAAATAGAAGATGGTAAACCACCAAAGAAATGTTCGAGCGATTGGAAACAAGCTGACGATAAATACTATTATTTTGATGATACAAAGACTCCTACGGTTACTTGGAGGCAGCTCATACTCGAAGCAGTGAAACAAAAACCCAACAGTTGATTTCATACTTTCTTACAATGCGTCTCTTTATCATTATTTTGGAATGCTGTTCTTGATTTGATAAAGAAAAAATTCTTTGTCTATAACTTTCATGTAAATAAATGAAGTAGAGAATATTGATGCAGTTATTTCTTGTTTGTGTTTCGTGTACGTATAAGTATCGATTGGCGTTGTTGTGACGATGCGATTACAGAGAAGACACTAACTCTAATCTCACACACTTTCTACATCAAAACACTAAAAAAAAGAAGTATATGATATTAAGCTCTACATAAGATTTTCATAAACCATTTTTATGGTATATGTCTGTTTTTGTAAACCTTTCAAAGGTTTATTATGTATTCCATTTTCATGAATCCTTACAGAGTTGGAGAAAATTTGGTATAGGATTTATGTGGCTAATAAAACCTTTCGTACGACTTATTTTCCACGATTTATTTTTACAGTGCACTATCATACTCACATCGTATTAGCAATTCCAAACAAAAAATTAAGGCAATAAATAAAAGAGAAAGCTCAAGCATGAACATACAATATTACTAAGCTTGTAAAAGAATTTTTAGATTGTCAATGCTCTTGTTGATCAACATAATATTCAGCTCTCTTTCATTGCTACAATTGTTGACAACAAAGAAAAACAGAAGAGATCTAAAACCGATTGAAGACAGCTTTAGATTGGCAAATGTATCGTTATCATAACCAAGAAATATAGTAATATTGTTAGAGCCATAATTGGTGACAATAAGATCTAGTGAGTTGCTGAAGTTGGAATCAGCAGCGACAGTCGACTACGACTGAGAATAAGGACCTGGTAACACCCATTTTATATGTTACTTCATGCAAAAAAGAGATATTGCCATATTCCAGAAGTGCAGAATCTACCCGTGTGCGGTAATGTGCGGTTGGGGAATTTTTCAGATCTGGAGAAATTTTTGAAAATTTTTTGAGTCTAGGAACGCTTCGAAAAGTAACTTTTTCCCATGCGAAAAGAATCATAAGTTATAATGTCTCTACCTATGCTGGAATGCTCCCCAGTTGCATCTCGCTGATTCATTTATCAAACATTCACTGGATGATTACTTTAACAGCAAGAACGAGAAAAATTGGTTATTGTATAAGAAGAGTGAACAATATCAAACATGGAAACTTATATCACCTGGCTTCGTTGTACTAAATCATTAGAGAAAAAAAAAGTACCAAGATTACCAGAATCAATCGATGATTAATAGAACGGATTGTTTTTTTAATCACACTATTTGCTTTAAGTAGTTCTTTTTCGACGCCCTTTGTTTATAGATATATAATCCACAGAAGGCCATGCTTTTTTGATTTTTCTAGCTGGGGAAATTTTTCGAAAAAATTTTAACCGTGGGGGAAATGTTTTTTTTTACGGCAGATTCTGCACCTCTGCCATTTCCAAGGATAATATCTACATGATGAGTTCCTGAATTGACAACACTGATATTCATGTAGTCAACATTTTAAAAATCTCCAATAACGAACGACTGTGGCTGCGAACGATTATTAGTTCACTGTGTTATTTCTTTTACAAACGATACGTTTTGAATATCCAAAATGTTTATAAGATACTGTTTAGATTCCATATGAAAACGTTTTGAAAAAGAAGTAAAATCGAAGCTCAACACGATGGTCATTTCTACTAGGATGTAAATAATGATCATCGTGGATATCGTTGAACACCATATGTCTCCGTTTTAGGTTGCATCATAAACGATCATATGAACGGAAGCCGTTTTTCGTCAGTTTCCTGTCAACTACAGCCTTTTACAGACCGTTCTATTCGACCTAAGAAACCAAAATATAGTTGAATTCTAACTTCTTCACTTAATTATGTTTACATAAAATATTCAACACTTCATATAACTTTTCCTTTCTAATAAATTTTTGCAGTTTTAAATGAAATGTTAAATGTTCTTATCTTCTACGCGTGATAACTGATATCAAAAGTTTTTGCTTTTGGATTAGTGTCATCCTAATATGGCAGAGGGTTTGTGAAATTTTAATCAATGAAAAATGCATTGTACTATATCGATGATTATGGTAAGCAGTTATTAGTTATATTGTGTAAACAGTACATTATTCGATAGTTTAAGTAAAAATCATTGATAAGCCAATAATGTAATGTAAACAATATTATTCATCATTTATACAAATTTCACAGAAGCTCCTCTTTTGTTTGTTCTCCCCTGTACATAATTAATTTCTTATCGCTTGCAGCTACGCTATACACATACACAATAAGCCTACATCGAGAACAATTTTGATACAGTTTCAACGGATTACATACATATAACGCGTTAGTCTCCGCTGCACTAGGTGTGTTTTACGTCATAAATACATCTACTTGTTAGATGAAAAAATTAAATGTTTGCGATCAAGTTTATATTTTTAATTATGTCTTCAGTACGACACTTTTCGCATATACAGGTCTTTTGAAAGAGGAAGGCATTCGGGCACGATTAGTAGACTTTTAATGGATATGCTTCGGATTATAAATGCATCTGAATGCTGTTAGGAAACAAAAAGTGTCTGAACAGTTTCCAACGATCACACATGCAGACATAGCGTGAGATGAAATCAAGTTTGAAAACTATTTGAACATCCACACTTAATTTATAACAAAACCGTACTTGAACTGGTCTGTTTTGCGTTTGGTATTCACATGGGTTGCCGTGTAATATAACGCAAAAATTACCGCTAATATGTTTTCATTTTGGTAATAGTAGATGGGAACAAGGGTATAATTTATAGAAAAAACTAGCACTTTTAATTTAATACATGATTACAACAAAGTTGATTTTTTCATCAGCAAAAAAAACTAAAACCTAAATTCAAATAATTATTTTGTCTGGTCTTTCTTGTATTTTATTTAGATTATCATATTTGACACAATCAATACACTTCTATTCTACAATACAATATCTATGGGCATTCATTTAAAAATACAACAGAGAAATAAAAACATGTATAAAGAGCTCGTTAATATTATCCTTTCAGCGATTTAGATATGGAATTAACTTTCACCATCGCGTTCAATATCACAAAAGATTACTTTGACAAATTAACAAATTCCATACTCTACCAAGCCTTAATGGGACAAGAGATATTTACATTCTTTCACTTATTTCATGATCGTCTCTCTGCGATTTCGGTAACATGGTTTATTCTTGAAAAAATTCTTCCTATTGTATTTGAAATAATAAATCTCTAAAAACCCTGGAAAAACCATTTCTTAGGAACAGATGGTACTCAATTAGAAAGAGAATAATGTTAACTCTTAATTTCAGCAAAAGAGAGAAATAGAAAAAAACGACTCACACGTAATTCATCTCGATTTTTGTTCTATAAGAGTATTTTTAAATAAAAAAGACTTAGTATTTACGTTATTCAAAGTATCTTTTTTAAAAAAGAAAAGTGTGAAACATATGTTTACCGAGTAAGAAAAATGCGTATGTATTCAAAACATTCGTTTCATTATCTTTGCATCTATGTGAGCACGACCAGTTCAGAAATACAAATGACGCAATGAATGGTAATTGTGATCGAAAAATATTTATTTTCACTCGTTTTGCATTGATTTAACTTTCAAAAGGATTCTTCGATTGCTATCAAAGTTTTGTTTGTTTTCGTTATTCCTTCTTTATGACTGTATACAAAGTTAATTGGTTCTTCTATGGAACTCAGATTGAAATCCTCAGAATCCCGTTTAATTTCGTTGGAATTACCTAGCTTATTATCATTCATGATGAATTTTGTATTTAGATGTGATTTATTTGTTAAAAATTACGATCTCAGTGTCTTCCATCAGAGTAAGTTTTTTTCAGAAGATAACGGTTTCTGTTATCATATTTCATTGATGACTTTTGATGATTACGCCCGAAAAAAAATAGCTAGAGTCTGTATTTTGAATATATTGCCACAATAAAAACACATTTTTTTAAAAGTAATTACATATTCTGAAAACTCGTGGAGTTTTGTATCGCTCCGTATAATTAGGCTTTAGTTGAGGCATATTCATTACTAAAATAAATTGAGTGAAACTAAGGCACCATCATATCGAAATTCCTACAGACTTGATTTTGTCATTGTCATCCAAATTAGTATTTTAAATTTTTTTATTACCCTTATATTGTCTTTTTATAAAAGTAACCATAGATTCCTTTAGAACTTGAAATTCTCTATCACCCTGAATGTTTACTTATTTTTTTATGTTCATTTATAGAAAAGAAAACTTGAGAACATTAAACATACCTTCAATCGACAAGTGCAAAAAATATGCATTTTTCATTGCATATGGAGTTCTCTTTTTGAATTTATTGTTCGTATATGAAATTATTTTTTTAAGTGATCGTAAATTCTGGTAGAGCTTGACATTCTCTATCGTCCTGTACATTTTTCAACTATTTTGAATTTATGTGCCGTAGCACATTCATTTCATTAGTGTAAGACAACATAAAAGTATATAGGATGATACAGAATTTCAAGCTCTAGAGGAATCTATGGTTACTTTTATAAAAAGACAATATAAGGGTGATAAAAAAATTTAAAATACTAATTTGGATGACAATGACAAAATCAAGTCTGTAGGAATTTCGATATGAGGGTGTCTTAGTTTCACTCAATTTATTTTAGTAATGAATATGCCTCAACTAAAGCCTAATTATACGGAGCGATAGAAAGCTCCACGGGTTTTTAGATTATGTAATTACTTTAAAAAAATGTGTTTTTATTGTGGAAATATATTCAAAATACAGACTCTAACTACTTCTTTTTCGGAAGTAATGATGAGAGTGGATGTGGGTATGGGTGTGATTGAAGAGATCCCTACACCTATACCCACACCTTGCGATGGGAAATTTATTTGCAGCGAAAAAACAAAATAATTTAAAAGTTTGTAATGATCAATGAGAAGTGGTGTTGAGACTGAAAAGAAACTATCATTTAAAGGTTGAATTTGATTTAACCTTGATTTAAAATTACGATGCTCTTTATATTCAAATAAAAGTAGATAATAATGTGTCAGCGATATTTTTCTTTTGTAATGTACGCGAATAATACATTTTAGAGTATGGCTGCGGCTACAGTGTGTGTAGGTGCAGATGTGGATGTCGATGTGGATGTAGAAGTAGCATTCAACCACACAGACGTCCATCGCGTCCATGCCTACAGCTACGTCCATACCCAACTACAGCCACCAACACCCGTACCTACACATTCAGATACAGACTCACATTTCACATGCACAGAGAACCACATTCAGCCACCATCACACTCGCACCTACACATACACCCCACTCATACACACGCCCAAGTCCCTCCCCTACAACCACATACACACTCTCCGGTAATGATTGACCAAAATCTATTTTGAATGACTGAATAATCATGTTATAGACAGATAAAAAGATTTAACTACCGTTTCCAGAACATAGCCTTTCAGTCTCGGGAACATTTTCAATGTAGCAGGTCACTTCTAAAACTTGCTATCAATCCAATAGGTTTACGTTTTTAACATGTTCGATAATGGCTTTCGAAGATATGCAAGCGCAATAGGTCCTGATTCTGATATATCGCTGCCCCATCTGTTTCTATCTTGCATGGCAATATGGTTTGGATATGCAGCATATGCTATAAGTGAACCATCTCGTAGATTGGAAGCAGAAGCCCATCAGCTCCTTGTCGTGCTTCTGAGTTAGACCAACTAATTAATTTTTTAGCTACCGTCGAATTCCGAACAACATAGGCGACCGTGCAGTACAAAAAATCTGCTGTGCACATATTATTTGGAAGAATGCTTTTACAGCGTAAGTGACTGTGGCTCAAAAAATATAGTTTCCAGTCATTGGGAAGTGAGCTCAGTGCTTCTTTAAGGAGATACGGTGCATCAGCGTCCAGAAAAACATCATCTTCGAATACAAGAACAGGTTGATCATTTGCTAGGTTTGCATTAGAGATTATAAAATAAATTTGTAAGTGACTCTGCCAGGTGGCTGTCTGTCCACTGGTCCAAGTTGTATTCGACATTATTTGAATAAACTTGGTTCTTGGATCGAATCTGCCTATTTGTTCAAAGCATTTTCTGCCATCAATAGCCGGAAATCTTGTAAATGGAATCTTGAGATAATCCAACTGTTTCGATACCTGAGCAAGCCTATCTTTTCTAATATCACGGTTGAGTAGGAACACTTTGGTGATTCCTATTTCTTTCAATGTTAAGAATCTCTGTGTTATATTATTGATATTAGACATCCTTAGTTGAGACATAAAAATACTAATATTAGGAGCATGTTTCCCACCAGTTGCAGTAAGTCTCATAACAACACAACAATAAACGCAAGCATAATTGGACTTGTTGTCATGCACTTCAAATACTTTTTGCCTATTTACAGAAGATGAACATTCATTTAAACCCAAAGATGCCTGACTTTTCAACCAATCTTTAACGTAACAAAAACCATAAGCATGAGGGTCCTCCGGATAAAGATTTTTTATGGTTCCAATGCATGGTTCTAACACAAAACTTCGCCTCCTTATTCCAAATAAACATCAAGTAAGCGTTAACCAATATGCATAGAAATATTACAATGTAAAGATATTTTGCAGATATTCTCTGAATCTGCGACGCGTTATTGAGATACATAAATACTGAATATGTCATTGCAGAATAACCCACTTGTTAACTTGCCGTATGTTGCTGATCTATAACAAGGAAAAAAGTTTAGTGCTCTATCCTGCACCCCTATAGCGTCTAGAATCTATGTAATAGTGGGTGCCAAGTTTGGAAGTGGATGTGGGTTATATCTTCATCAACATCCGCACTTACTCACACCTACACGCACATCCTCTATATTATTTAAATAACGAAGCGAAAGAACGAATAATGTAAGATTTCTTTCTATATTAGTCAAGGAGACAAATAACTAGCATACCAGCAGAATATGTTGATCAATGTTCTTTCTTATCACTAAGAACACTGTGGCACGTGATGCTGTTAGATGAGACGATGATGCAGGAAACGATAAATGCAACCAAAACCTTTTCCTATTACTTTTTTTGTACGCTTGATGCTGAAATTTTCTTGGGAACTACCTCAAGAAAATGAAAGAAGATGTGTCCATGAAAAAAATCTTTCTTTCTTATTTCATGTATCACCAGTGTTTTATCTACTGTGTGGACCGGGTGAACGGCGTCCACCCGAAATTTTCCAGTTGATTTCATAAAAAAAAGTAAATGTTTTTTCTTTCACTTTCACTCTCATGTCATTATCACTGAGTTATAGGAATAGTATTCATATAACTCAGGTCGACTATTCATTTTAATAGTCGATTCTTCATAATGAGACAATAATAGATTGAAAAGAATGAAAATGAGAAAATTCATTTTCCTCTTCTATCGGGCTAACCTTTTCTCTCTTCGTATAATTCACATTGACCATATTGATTCTATTCAACTTCGATACGAATCATTTCTGAATGTCATCAGGACAAAGATCTCTAATTTCATATTTTCAAAGAAAAGAAAATATAGAAGAGTGTAACAACAATTTCATAAAAAGAAAAAAACTCAATGATAATTCAAATAATATTATAAATGATAGTACAACCAATAGACATTTACTTTCAAATACTGAAGCATCATCGGGTATGCAATCAAATATTAATGAAAATTATTCATTATCCGCAACAATAATAACAACAAATGACAATACAAAACGTACATATCAAAAATAGTATTCAGAGCACTTTAAGTGGCTTGTATAAGAACCTAATAAAGGTGAATTTCGTTGTATATATCGTGATTACTGGAAACCAACAATATCATTCTATGCTGAGATGAATGCAAGAACCAGAGATGTTTTTTCTACACAACTTTTTGTCAATTGGAAAAATGCACCTGGGCGATGTGGTACCTTACAAAAACACCAAGAATCTACTTATCATAAAACAGCTGTACAAAATTTATCATTTCGGCAAACAGAAGGATCAGTAGTACAACAATTATTTAATGTTAGTGAATTAGAACGTAAAGAAAATTGTCAAAGATTTGGTGATCTATTAGATGGCGTATATTTTTTATTTAAACATGAACTTCCACATACAACATTATATGCACCATTACTGGAATTATTATCGAAAATTGACCGTAGTAAAATAATATCAACATTTTTTGATAAATATCGACAGGATGCTACCTATGATAGTACAACAACGGTAAAAAAATTATTACAATCAACAAGTGAAGTAATAGATAAACAAGTCTTAACAAAAATTTGTGAGTCAAGAATTATTTCAATTATGGCTAATGAAGGCACAAATATAAACCATCATCAAAACTTTGCAATCAGTATACGCTATTGTAATCAAGATACAGGTTAGTATTTTCTTGCTCTGGATTATCTCATGGGTGTTACAAACTGTTGATAGTCTTTAATGGCTATTTGAAGTGTTTCGGAGAATCGTTGTATGAAAAAAAAAGAAAAAAATTTACCTTCGATCTTCCTTGCTATCGATTATGATAAAACAATCTTCCTTGATGCTGATACGAGATATACGTTCGAAAGATGCTTTTTTTGAGAAATCTGCTTACACATAATATTTGCACTTTCTAGGTGAGCCAACAGAATCATTCATTACTTTACTAAAAATTAAAAATAAAGATGCACAATCAATATTTGACACAATTGTTAAAGAACTAAAATCTAAAAATATTGATATGATAAAAATTCGTTTTACTAGCTTTGATGGTGCATTTGTTTTCAGTGGGGAATTTAATGGTGTATCAGTGAAATTTCGTCAGACATATTCAGATTCAATATTGTTTATTCATTGTTGTACTCATATATTACAATTATGTTTATTATCGGCATGTGAAGATATACTTGAAGCACAAGAAAGTTTAGTAACATTGAAATCATTATTCAATTTTATTAATTAATCAACAATTAGATTAGCTCGTTTCAATGATTTTCAAAAATTATTAAGACATCCACAATTAAAATTACTTCAACCTAGTGATACATGACGGCTGTCATATTCGCGTTCTATTAATGCTGTTATTCGTTGTTATGAGCTATTAATGATAACGTTGGAACACATAGCTAATGAACGAGATGAAGAAAGTCCATCTGCTTCGGATCTACTTTCAATTTTACAAGATCAATCAACAACATTCATATTGCATAGTTTAGAACCAATTCTTGAAGCACTTTCAATATTATCGAAGTCCATGCAAACAAAAAATGATGACTTTAATCAACTTGAACAATTTATGTTTGGAACATTGTTGCGATTAGAAGAATTGAAAGACGTTAATATTACTGAATATAAACAAATATTTGAGATTGTTGATCAAAAATAAAGACATTATCATCTAATTATTTTAATCTTGATCATATTACACGTTCAACAATAAGAACAAATGAAATTAATTTAGAAGAACTATTTAAGGATAAAATCGTCAAATTTATTAATAATATTATATCAAACATTAAAGCTCGATTTCAATCAAAAGTATTAAAATTTCTCAATTGTTTTCGTATATTTGATATGTCTGAAGTAACTACTGAAGAAGAATATGGTATACAAAAGATTAATATAATCAAACAACAGTATCCTAATGATTTGGATGATGACTTACTCGCCGAATGAAAAGTTTTTCGTAAATATTTATTTGTACAAAAAACAACAGCAAACATTTAAAACTTTAACAAAACGACAGCAATGTATTAATTTAGTTAAAATTGGAATGATTAGAGACATGTATCAACAGTTATCATTAGCTACTGAAATATTTTTATGTGCACCGATTAGTACAGCAACAGTAGAACGTGATTTTAGTACAATGAATAGAATATTAACTGATCTACGAAATCGTTTAACAACAGAACATTTAAATTAATTAATGAGAATATCAATCGAAGGACCATCTGATTTAGATGATGATCAAAACGATTTAATTATTGATTGTTGAAAAATTAAAGAGTTACGAAAAATTTCGGTTTAAATTACATTTATGGTTTTTTCTCAAAGTGGTTTGCTTTTCAAAGTGTTTTTTTTACATTGTATTGTGAACATAAGAAGTGTAATGGTGTTGTGTAAAAAAAAATAAAGAAGAGTGTGTGTGCCTTTGCTATATGACAAATTTTTTAGCACGCAGCCCTTCCGAAAATTTCAACCGTCCACCCAAAAAACGAATCCTACATAAAACACTGTGTATCACTGTTTTATAGACATCAAGATTGTGGAATTCACATTTGTTTCAGAAGAAAATAGTCAGTGGAAGTTTACAGTTCAAGTTCCGCGTCCTTACTCCTCCTCATTACACATCTCAACATCCGTAGACAACAGGTTTAACATCCCGTTTCTAGAGTTCCTTAGCAATGGAGGAAAAGATGAACGATACCACAAATAAGACTTCGACTGTTCTAAAACATCTCAAAGCTTCTTCGACCTTTGACCTGCTCTAATATATTTTTTCGTAAGTTAATTTCCCAGTCATCAAAAGATCAACATGAAGTATCTTGATGGATTAATTCATAAATTTGGAAAATATTATTATCAGAAATTGTGAACATATCGAGATAAATATGGTAGGGTGTCGATGAATGCTAATATAGATATAATGAATCTTTACAAATGGCTTATTCCTCAATCAATTCAACGTTCAGAATAACAACAGTTTTAAAATAAGTTAAATGAAATGCGTAAAAGAATAAAAACGAGCAAATAGCTATCAATTGAACATGGAAAAGAAAAGAACACCAGTATGTAAAAAGAAAAAATTCGATTTGAAATGAAGAAACAAATAAGATATATCGACCGCCAGGAGATCGATTACCTAGAAAAACAATTATACTCTGCTAAAGATATTTCAACTAATCAACATTCTATTCTTGTATTGAAATTAAAGAACATCTGTGTTCCACATTTTCACCCTAAGAGAGCTATGCTAATAAGTCTTTGTTTTTATTTATGCGTGCTCTTTGTTATTATCAACAATGAGATAAACTAACACTCCCAATCTCAATACGAGATCATTTAGTAAGTATTGATTAATCAGATTAAATCTTTTTCTTATTTAGATTTATTCAACGAACACACCTTATAGTGACAATACATTTAGAAAATCATTTGACGTTTTCCATTTAGGCTTAACAAACAGCAGTTCACAATGAAAAACAAGCTTAGAATAGCTTCGGAATGAGCTTCTCAAAGGGTTTCTGAGAATGGTCACATAGTAAAGAGCGTATATTATATGTTGAACTCTCATAATCTCTTAGAGGGTTTATTTTTCTACTCTTTATTTTAGGTGTAATCTGACCAACAAATGCTCTTTCGACAAGTAAAAATCGATCTACAGTTAGACCAACCAACCTCAGAACTGCACTACTATCGATTCCATCTTTGACCTCAAGTACGATTCTTCCAAAACAAGTTTAATATGACATGTAACGACGTAGAGAAATCCACTGAATAGTAAGAATGAAAAAGATTTTCTGAAGAGAATGCATTTGCAAAATACTCATGTTTGCTCACTGTATTCTTGCGAATTATTTTGTGTCAACGTACAGAATAATGATGTAAAGCATCGAAGTTACTTTATGCAGACAAATGAAAGTATTATCTTACTTATATAAACATCGAAAAAATATAGTTTGCTTGTGTGCATCCATCCATATACGTAAAATAGCACATGGTTATATACTACTGAGATATCTTTTTTTTCATACTTCTATTATCATTGTTTTGCTTGTTCTCTCATTCACTGCTCAAGCAGCTTAATCGACGAAGAGAGAGAGTAAATCGAAGGTTGAAAAAAATGCGCACTATACCACGGCTTAATTTGTTTTGTTTATATTGGTATACAGGATAGATAAAATATTAACGTTTTACAAGCAATACTATGGTGCTAAATACTATTGATCCTTCTAGAATCAAGCTTCAAAGATTCCTTTTCCATATGAGAGAAGATAATCGTTTTTGATGCTACCCATGTAAAAAAAGGTTTAACACGAAAATCGGCTTGTACATATTTTCATCGATTTGAAACGCAGTTAGTTGATAAAAATCCAAGAAGTATGATATTTTAGATTAAATGGAAGGTTACAGTTGATGATTTCACACATTTAATTACGAATCACTGATTTTTCACTGATTGTTGTAGATTTTTTTACCGAAATCGAATAAAACAGATTAACAGATAATACAATCGCTTAGATATGAATATTTCTTAATCAATTAAGGTTAATTTTTATAAATAATACTTTTTCATTCGTAATTCATGAGTTTTCCTCGATTACAATCTTTTGAGATTAATTCTAATCAACAGAAATCGAATAAACTTACTAATCGTCTATAATCTTGTAATAATGATTGCAAGCTATCAGAATAATTGGGATTTTTGATCCAATTGAAGTACTTCATTGATTATAATCGAACTAACATTCACAAATATAAAAGACATCAATAGTATAAAATCATCAACCTCATGTTTACTTATATTTCT